GACCCGGCCCGTATGCGCTCGACCCCGCCGGTCCATAGGGCCCATTCGCTTCCCCGACCCACTACTCCACTAGATCCGGCCCACACACGATCACGCCTTGCGCAGTCGGCCTTTCTCCAACTTGGCCTCCCTCGATTGCTCCTGGGTCAACCCCGTAGAGCAAGGCCCCACTCAGGCCACCCATGTTTGGGTTGAATCCTCGGATTGGGCCCACACTCCCGCGCCCACCGGGCTCGACGAGAGGCCCAGTCGGCCTTCCTCCTCGCATCGCGGCCTGCATCGCCTTGTTGTCGACGACGAGGTTTCCCCAGCCTACTCCGACGGGAATCCCGTGACCGATTCCACTGTCGCGTTTCTCGCTCTCAGTCGGCGCGCCTTCCGTCGCTCCAGGCGAGTGAAGCTCCACATCCCCAGTGACTCCCTTTAATTTTTCCATCGGCAGAATCTTATCAGCGGTGCGGCTGGTGATGTGGCTATGCCGACGCGGCGACTCGGTCGCCTTTCTTCCCCACGGTGGATCGCGGAGAATCGCAAGTATCGAGCTAACATCACCGGCTAGGCGATTCTGATCAACGCGGATGACGTTGATCTCCTCCTGCAGACGATCCTGGCCGTCCAACAGCTTCTCCTGGCCGCGTTGCAGCTGTCCCACGTCGACGCGCAGGTGCTCCAAGGTTGCTTCGTGCTCGCGGTTTAGGGCATCCTAGGCTTCAATCCTGGCGGTGATCGCCTGTTAGTAGCCGATGATTGCTTGGATTTGCGGCCCGAGGTCTTCATCGCCGGCGGCTTCCATGGATGAAGATTGTGTTGGTGGCTTGCGTGGTGGCATGGTCTCCTGGCTTGGTTCACTCGGAACCAGGCTATGATATCAATTGATGCGTGATGAGATTTCACGCACCGGTGATCTCGAGCGATTTAGCGAAAGAACTAGAAAACGAAGAGCTACTTTTCTCTACTAACTACTAATACTTTATTGATCGACTGAATAAAACGAAGAGCAAAGGTACATAATTATAGGACTAATCCTACAAACCCCTTTCCTCTTAAGACAAGGAAACCCAAACCCAAAGAAACAAGTAAACGAATACTTCCTAAACAAGATAGGTAATAATAATCCTAGACCCAAACTAATACAAAATAACTAAATAATAACCGAATATCCCAACAAATAATAATAATAAAACAATAATAATAATTATAATTATAATATTAGAGTGCTCGGCCCAAGACACTATCACCCATCATACTTTAGATGGATGTATAGCAAGATCCGTCTTCGTAATTTTTGTGTTTGCATTTATTCCCCTTTGTGTATGCAAGTTAGTAACACTATTCACGAACAAGCAATTTTGATCTTGAACTTGAATGTTCCAGTTTCAAAATCTTTTAAATAGTATCTAAAGGATAAAAAGTAAACATATATCACTCTTATATATAGTAACACTGTTCTCATGTGGCTATTAACAATTTTTATTAGTTGCCACGTAAAATAATGTCCAGTAAAGATATAACGCATGCATTGGAAGTTAAACTATTGCTTCTCGTGAGCTCTTGAGGTGGAATCATGTCAAGAAACTTGTTAGTCCGTTGTAGTTCGATTGCTTAAGTTACTCTTTGACTCCATGATGCACGTCTCTCTATTGACATCGCTTCGGCGTCACCTCCATGATAACATAGAGATGCAACCAAATAAAGGGGGTGCGATACGTACCTTGGCACTCTTGTCTTTAATATCCGATGCCACAAAGTACTGCTCAAGGCGGCAAAGGAATTTCTCTAACTCCTTTGTGTTCCTCGACCCTCCAAATCTCATTTGTCTCAAAACATCCATACTCGAGGAGGATTGTGCCATGACAAGTGCGTTAAACATGATCCTCTTTAGGAGACTCACTTATCTCTTGAGCTCTGCAGCCTCGGTTTGATCGTCTCTCTTAACGAGTCGGTGTTGTTGTTGAGGAAGTCAAGCTGCTAGTTTCAAAGTGTCTTCAAGCCTTCTTCCAACCCCATGTGCATTGTCTCATGCATTGCATGTCTCCACAGTGATGCTTGCGACACTTTCGCATGACCTTGGGCCAAGTTCTCGATTGCATCAATGTGCTTGACTATCTTCTATCACTGCCACAACATTCTGAGCTCTTGATTGAAACTTGTCCCTTGGCCTTACTTGGGTTGGGATTCTTCACTTGATCCCTCCCAGTTCATCGTCATGAACTTCGAATCTAGATGCCAACTTGATAAAGCTCTCCCTTCTTCATGAGCACGAACCAAGTTTTGATCTCAGATGTCACAATTAAACCCTTTCGTGCGACTTAGAGCTAAAGTCTTGTTAGAGAGTTAAGTCAGCCTCACTCACACTCGCTCAAACTCACAAGAATATGTGAACTCTCTCTCTCTCTAGAGATGTACTACTCTCAATATTTATAAATAATTCCAAATGAGGGGGAAATGGTGTTAATATAGACCTCACCTCCTAAATGGATGGCTAAGATTAATCTAATCCTACGACTAAGGATGATTCTCTATAATTTTATACCGAAATATATACTTTATAGAATACTATATATGTATAACTACATATGCTACAAGATTTTAACTCTTCACACATATTCTACGAGGTGCATGTGTAGCCATGGGTTCACGAAAATAACCGCATATAATTTCTCCGAAAACAGACATTGTATTATTGTTGAAATTTTTCTTGCAAAATGTATCCATAAAGACTAATAAAATTCATAAACTATCCATTTTATCATGATTATATTTGCCATAAGGACTAAGAACATCCATAAAGTATCCATTATACAAAATAACACCAATTTGTTGTTCAGTTGCGGATCGATCGGAAAGCTGACAAAATTTTGGCAATCCTCGCACCAATCTAACTAGCCACTTTTAAAAGTAGATAAAACTCGCGCTCGATTCAAAACTACCCTTATAAAATTATCGAGTTTATAACTTGTGCATTGGAGGTCAATAGTTATCAGGTAGGCCAAAAAAGAAGAGAGTGGGTTGAAGCTAGGGGTGTAAGTTTGACCCTAAAGACTCACCGACCCTCCCCGACCGTGAGGGTCGACTACGTCAGTTTAGGGTCAGGTCCACTTACGGCGGGACAGCTTTTGACCCTATGACCCATTGCAACAATTATTGATATGAAATTCCACATAACAACACATTAGACCTGTTTGTAAAGGTTTAAAAGTTTAGATCTTATAATGTAAGGTAAAAAATATGAAGGTACCAAAACGTAATTTTACCACCAAATTTTTTAAACCAATTTGTAAAAAAAAGTACTAAATTGTAAAAAAAATTTAATTTTTGTACCGATCCTAGAGGGTCAAATAGGATCTAGATGAAAACATGTATCAGACAGGTTTGTGATCTTTCAGGCAGCAACAGGTCATACAAGATCAGAGATAGGTCAATAACGAATCAGACCAATTTTCAACGCTAGTTGAAACTAGACATAAGATCTTATGAGACTTGGTGCGACCAAGAGATTAGGGGGGAACCGTCAACTATGCATATTTGGTAACTTTGTGGTGTGAAGAAGTATATTGCGTGAGGTAGGTACCGTGGTGAAAATTTATCTATAAAAATTGAGGTAAAAACTTATGGACGCACTGAGTCATCTTCAGCTAGGTAGGAGTGGACAATGAAATTAAAGAAAACATATATTGAAATTGAATTTAGACCGAATCAAATGAACCAAACATGTTTTTAGTTCGATTCTAGTCCTATTTTTCTTTATTTTTATTTGATTTTATCTCAATTTGATTAGATTTTGAACTGAATCGACCGATGTGTAGCAAAGTTAAAGACTATAAATGGTTTCGTGAAACTTGATACAGAGGCTGACTGACATTCTTTGATATCCGACTCCCACCATCCTCACTAGTCAGTCACTGCCACCTAACCAAACCCCAACTTGGATATGGTCCACCACTTACTATTTGGAGGATGATCCTCCACTTTCATCCAACGACTAATAAAAATGGCCCATTAAATCAAAAGTTCAGATCTCTTAGGAAAATAGATAGTGGATTATAGGGTACACGGACTGAAAAGCAACTGACAAAGTGGGTCTTTTGTGTTTAACAAAATTTATGTATATTATAGTTGTATATGTACATTCTGGTTGAACAAAAATCAAATTAGTATTGAACAAAAATCATATTTGTATGGAACAAAAAAACATATTTATATTGAACAAAATTCATACTTGTATGGAACATAAATACACATTAGCATACATATTCGTAATGAACAAAAAAAAAATTTGTATTGAACAAAAACATATTCCGTATGTATGATTTGTGTATTCGTAATTTTCACGACTTTTATTCAAAATAATATACTACATATTAAATTACATATTCTTACGAGACACAAAACATATTCGTACCAAACCCAAAACATATTTGTACAATGCCGAAATCATATTCATCATTTTCGACAACTTGTACAACACATTCTTCACTCTTCCAAAATCTTCCCCCACTAACCTAACCTTCTTTTCTCCAAATCTGTTCCCATCCCTCTTACTAACAACAACCTCAAATAACCATGTTTGAACTACAAATTTTGGGAGTCGATTCTGATAGCCGAAAAATAGAGAATCTGTTCTGGTTCTGTTTTCATTTGAGAACTGAACAAACGAAAGGCTTTCTTCTTTAACATACCAAACAAACTACACGCTAACACCCAAACGGTACGGAGAATAACCCTCCCACTCCCGGGAAATCCCCAAAATCCACAAGCCTCCTCTTCTCCTTCGCCGCTGTAACTGCAGCTGGGATCGCACAAAACAAAATTACACTACACAAAACAAAACCCCCAAGATTACCCCCCAACCTTCCTTTAATTGTTGTTTGTTTTCTTCCTCAGATACAGATTAGGAGGATTTTTACTATGATTATTATTATAGAAAGAAACTAATAACTAACTCCACCCCAAAACAAAACCAAACCAAGATGGACCCGAATTCATCCTCCATTTTTTTCTCACTTCATCAGCCCTTTCGCTGTCGTCGGAATCACAAACGTCGGCCAAGAAAACCCTTCCGGGTCCACATACGAACCTCCCCCACTCCCATTCCCCTTCTCCATCTCACCCACCTGCGCCCACGCGCCCATCACATTACCACCGCACCCGACTCCATCTCCGCCGCCGAGGTAGTCGGTAGTTGTGGTGCTGCTCGAAGCAGAGTAGTACGGCCACATTCCTCTCGCGGCCGCAGCATTACCCGCTAACCCAAGATCCATGTCGCAGAACCCGTACCCATGACCCGACCCGTACCCGGTTAGGGACCCGACGAGCCCACCTCCTTGATTGTTGAGCAGGGAGATGAAGCTTCCGCTTCCGATCCCGTTCTCGCTCACAACCGGCTGCCGATTCTCCTTCAGATTACTGAGCTCGTCGCACTTCCCGGCCTCCGCCACCGACCTGAAAACCGGGTCGAATCCGAGGTGGAGCGGCGGGTCGGAATAGTGATCGTGCTGCTGCTCGTGAGCGAGGGAAGACATCGAAGTGGTGGAATTCGAGGACGAAGATGTCGTCGTGTTTGTCGACGCCGACGAATCCATGTTGATATTGCTGTAATTGTTGTTGTTGGTGGTGGTGGTGGTGGTAACCGCGGCGGCGGAAGCGGAGGAGGCGCGTTGGCGCTTGGAGGAGGAGGCGGCAGAGGAGGACTTCCGTGTGCCGCCGCCGACGGGGACGTTGCGGAGGGAGCCGCCCTGGGTCCAGTACCGGCGGCACGACTTGCAGAAGTGGCGGGGCTGGGAGAGGTTGTAGTTGTTGTAGTAGCAGAATTTCGTGTTCGTCGATTCGCACCGCGGGCACGGCAGCGACGGCGCGTCGTCCGCGCTCCCGCCCATGGATGCCGCAATAGGAAAAGCTAGCGCCGCCGCAGCTGTCGGATTATCGCCGATTTCTGACGGCATTAGAAGGGAAACCTTTTTGTATATTTTTTTTGGAGGGCAGAGATTTTCCTTTTTTTTTGTTTTTTGGAGGCAGAGATTTTAGCTGGTAAGGTTGCAACGGTGGAATGTGGGGTTTATAGAGAGAGGAGGAGAAGGCGGTGAGCGAGGGGGATGGGGTTTTGATTATCTGCTTTCGATTTCCTTCACCGTGTTGCTGCTCTTGAGTCTTGACTCCTTGATCTCGACACGTGGCAGGTCTACGAGTCATAGATCTAGGTTAGATGAGGGCTGAAACTTATGATGTGGTGCGTCCGTGTTTTCCATGTGTTCTCGTGCATCATACTTAGATCACTAAATTCGAACTTAGGTCGTCACGTGATGCGTATGACGTATCGTGATTTTACATGGAAGTTTGTCGTTTTTGAAGGATTCAATTATGAATGTAAAGGCATTGTTTTTTTTTTCTCTCTCTCTCTCCAACTGAAATTGACGTGTATGAACGGTTTGTTGACTAGAGGGGGCCACTTTAAAGTCGAATATCGCGTTGTGTATGCTCTTTGATGCATTGTATTCCTTCAGTTTCAACTACCGGCTTTTGTAAGATTATGTTACGTTGTTGTTGTCAATAAAGTGGGCAGGAGCGGCTCAACTTGATTGGTTGGATTCATAGAATTGAACTTGACCTGGGACTTGCTTGCTGACGCGCTATATACCTTTCGGTTTCAACTACCAACTTTCGTAGGATGCAATTATGTTGTTGCCATCACCTTTGTTGTCAGACACCGCCTTGACCTTATTGGCTTAGCTGATAGAATCAGAATCCAATAACATGACAGGCTGATTGAGTAACAATTAAACTCAACCATATGATCTCGTGAAGTTAATTCCTGCAGGGAGCGTTCTATGTTTCATGACATGTCGTCGCGTTTTCTTCAATTTCAAACCACTCACTTCTAATAGAAATTAGTGATGAAGTGGTTGTAAGGTATACTTGAATTTTATCAATTGACAGGATGGAATGTGAACCAAATAACTTATTAGTCCATTGAATAACATTTGAAACTCTCCACATCCAACATTATTATGTCCAGGGTTTTATCCATTTGGTTAGGAAACTCGGTTTAACTTTCACATCTAGTTCTTATGCACTGAATCCGCCTCTTTTGACACTACATTTGGCAAATATTTTTCCACGACTTGACATAACTTCTTGAAAATTGCTTTGCTCTAGTTCTTTGACTGGAAGATATTTTAATGCACCTTGGTCTATCTGTGGCAAATTGCTTGACATTACTTCCACATCAAAAATTAATGTTGCTTTTACTCTGTGCTCTCTCTGGTCATTTTCACCATCTTTTGGTTCAATCATTGGTTGAGCTAGTTTCTGGGGAGTTTAATATCTTATAAGATCACAACCAGGGGCGGACCTGTGTGTTGGGTAGGGGTGTCGCCCGACACCCCTTCGCCCGAAATTTTTGTGAAGGACCTATATTTTTTCGATACAAAAAATTTTAATACGAAATTTCCGACACCGCTCTAATAATTATAGACGAACCCATTCATTATACTAGAAATTATTTATTGTTATAAATGTGTTCATCTTAATTTTTAATTATTCATACTAAGTAAAATAATTTTGGTTTAGTCTAAATAACCCATCACCATAAAATTCCACCCCACATACAAACAGCAGTAAAGCACCCTTGCTGGAAGAACAAGGCGTAGTACCCCTCATCAGCCCACAAACTTGCATCACTATCAAGTTGAGCTATTTTATGAAGTCATTGATATGCAATTGCAAGAATTGAATACTCGATTTGGTGAGGTGAATACTCGATTGTTGGACTGCATTTCTTGTTTTAGTCCAACTAACTCTTTTGCTGCTTTTGATAAAGCAAAGTTGATGAGTCTTACTGAGTTTTATCCTGAGGAATTCCCATCCAATGTGCACTCAAGACTTGATCAACAATTAAGAGGCTACATTTCTCATGTCAAGGAAGATAGGAGCTTTGATGGATTGCAGGGAATCGACGAGCTAGCTAGAAAATTGGTTGAGAGAGAAAAGGATACTTTATATCCTTTAGTTTTCTTGCTTCTGAAGTTGGTGTTGACTTTACCTGTTGCAACTGCAAGCTGTGAAAGAGCATTTTCAGCTATGAAGATCATCAAGAACGATCTTCGGAATCGGTTGAGTGACCAATTTATGAATGATTGTTTAGTTGTGTATATTTAAAAAGCTATATTTTGCAACTTAAGCGATGAATGTATTCTAGAAACATTTCAGAATATGAAAAGTCGTCGTGGTTCGTTGTAAACGTGACATTATGAACTTATGAATTAATTTCTAATAATTTTTATTTTTATTTTATTATTATTTTTTTTTTCGGCGACACCCCTCTTCGACAATCCTGGGTCCGCCACTGATCACAACCGATATAGTTTTACTGAATTTTTTGTGCGATTGACATTGATCTCGTAGTTACAACAAAATCATCCATATAATGGTATAATATTTTCTTATCTATAGTCAGGTTGTATGCGGACCAGTGTGTTTGTGAAATGTATGTGGAGCCGAATTTTAGGCTAAATGTTTGTTCTTTTCTTAACCAAAGAGTTACCGATCAATTTATTAGGGAGGATGTTATAATTATATGGTATCCGGCCCGCATGATTCGTCCAACAGCATTGATCATTGTAGTCCAACCAAGGTCTTTCGCAGAGATTAGGACGTGTAACCGAGAACAATGATTGAGTTATGACCAAAGACATCCTTTGATTACGGCTTGGTTCCTAGGATTTGAATCAAGATGATATACCTGTATAATAATGTTGCTAAAGAATTGGTATGATTGATTATCATGTGTCGGATTATTTATATGCTTTTAATCATTTGCTTTTACCACTCATACCGCCACCAGTCATTGCATTTGTTAGAAAAATAGAAACATGCTCACGATCCAATTGTCTAAGAGCAATTATCAACATGCGCAATTGACATGGTTAAGTGTACAATTACAATTACACCTAACCCCAACTTCTTAAACTCTCAACAGTTTGAGTGTTTTGAGATATCACATCTCATATCCGAGTTGTGACACTCTAAATTTTTACTCAAAACTTGCAATACGAGTCATCGCTCAACTTTAAGATATAATAGGTAACGAATGATACATTTATGTACAGGCTCGAACTGGACGAAGTCAAACTAATAATTGTAGTACTTCCCTATCCTTCCATCTCTTTTTTCTTGGTAACACTCCTCTTACTCTATCGTGGGAAATCCCGCTAGCTACAGCAGTATTCCTCACTACTCTTGACACTGACGCCAATTGGCAAGTAGCTTGATATTGCTTACAATATTGGTCCCTGATTGAGTTCTTCTGCTTGCCTGCCTGCCACTCTGATCTCTTCAAAGCCAATCCAGTTTTCGGTTGCTGGGTCAGTGGACTGGAGCATCACGCGCTTCATCATCGCTAAACTAGCCGGTGGCCCAGAAAAATTTCTGGCGGGCCCAAAGCCATGGCCTAATCAATCATCCTGGAGGAACGAATAAGGTACAGTGAGTGAGTGAGTGAGTAGTGGGATGGAATGGATACATTAGAAAAGGCCGACAAGAATCGAAGGTTGTTGTCTGGACGCGTGGGGAGCAATATGATCTCTAATTCCACTCTCTGCTCGCTGCGGCTTAATGGTTACAGTTCTGCCATCTGCCGCAACTCTGTTCTTCTGGTACTTCTGCACTGTTCTCACCCCATCCTTGAAGAAGCACTCGATACGGCGACGTTTTCTTTGTCGATTGAACGAGTTGTCACTCTCACAATAAAGATCGAAGATTATTTTGGATTTTCCCATTTTTTTGCCAGTCCAGTCCACTGCTGAGTTGTGCTGGTGGCGTTAGTTGGTTCTTGGGCCACGTGGCGCCCAACTGTCATGTGGGGGCCTGGGGGGACTGGACCACGCGACTTCAGGGTGGGATTGTCAAAGTGGGTTGTGGTCTCTGATTTGGGCCTGGCTCAAGATTCCCCTGTCCTGTCTCTCTCCCCTAGGCCCTAGCTGCCTATCGAATAGTTCGCTCTTGTGTTATTTGGGCTTCCCATTTCAGCAAACAATCCATCTCTTTATAATGATCTTCGGCTTTGTGTTCATGCTCATGGCATGCAAGCTTCAGTTCGGTGATGTGCTTCTTCGTGAGTGAGTTGCATGTTTATTGCCAATATACTTGTCTATGCCCAACGCTCCCGAATTGGAGCGCAGGAACGCGGATTTGAGGGTGAGCGTAGAAAATTCGCGATTTTGGTTTTGTTGGGAGCGTGGATTTCTAGTGGAAGAGCGCGATTTGACAAACAATTATTCAATTCTCTTCTTTGTGTGGCTTTCTTCAACGAATCTCTACAGCTCTCTCACCGCTGGCGCCGTTGCATGTCCGCCTCTCCGTCCTCCGGCCGCTGCCCTCAATCCAGGCTATAATCAACCTTCGAGATCTACCATCGACAACTGCAACTGCCCTCCAATCTATGATGCTTGGCTTGTTCCAAAAATCTAAGAACAACCTCTGCCCCAATAGGCAAGCACCGCCTTCATTTCATCTCAGCCCCCATCGCAAACTCCGCCGCCTCTGCCCTCTGGTCTTCCTCCAGACTGTCGTTATTAGGCGCTGGATGGGCTGATTGGGGGATTCCTAGCTCCAAATATGGGTTTCTCGCGTTCCTTTTCTTCTAGCAAGCCGATTTTCAATTTTTAAGGTACAAAGAGAAAGAACAGAGGAGACACAAGCGGTTTTGTTCAAGGCAGACGAAAGGCAAAGACTGATCATCTGAAGATTCTTACTGCAGTCTCTCTCTTCTCTATGGAGTAACTTCCCTTCACTTAGGTTTTGAGGAACCCTAGCTATGTTTGTTTGATTGGATGATTGTATGAGTACTCTGACTTGATAATCTTGAGTTCATATTCAATCTATGCATGTTTTCATGATTCAATTTTGCTTTAGTCGAGATTATTGATTCTGCTTTGATCCTATGAGA